GCACAGTGCCAGATAAGTGGAAAATGGCAAATGTAATACCTATTTACAAGGCAGGTGAAAGGTCCTTAGGTTCGAACTACAGACGAATAAGCCTTACCTCCACAGTGGGAAAATTTATGGAGTCAATAATTGCCGAGGCAATTCGTAACCATCTTGAAAGGAATAAATAGATTAATGAATCTCAGCATGGTTTACAAGATGGTCCAGCAAGACTGGACCTTGTATTCGCCTTGAGTAGTTCAGACATCGAGGATATCACGTATGAAAGGCACCTTGGAGCTAGTGATCATGTGGTTTTGTGCTTTGATTACATAGTTGAGCTACAAGTGGAGACAGTAGCAGGAATAGGAGGGGAAAACCAAGATGCAACAGTGGGGACTACACAGGCATGAGGAACTTCCTGCAAGACGTTCAGTGGGAGAGAGAACTGGCAGGAAAACCAGTAAAAGAAATGATGGGCTATGTGACAACAAAATACAAGGAGGCAGAGGAGAGGTTTGTTCCGATGGGAAACAGAAATAATGGGAAGACCAGAATGAGTCCTTGGTTCACCCAAAGGTGTAGGGAGGCATAAACGGTACAGAAGACAAAGGACCCAGGAAAATAAAGATCAGCTGAAGATCTAGAAACGAATATGCACAGATGCACAGAATATGCACAGAGGCTCAGCGACAATACGAAAATGACATAGCATCGAAAGTCAAGTCTTACCCGAAGCTGTTGTATAGCCACATCAGGAGGAAAACAACAGTCAAGGATCAGGTAATCAGGCTGAGGAAATAAGGTGGGGAGCTCACAAGAAAGAACCAAGAGGTAAGTGAGGAGCTCAACATGAGATTTAAAGAAGTATTTATAGTGGAAACAGGTAGGACTCCAGGAATTCACAACAGGGGGGGATGGGTACACAACAAGTGCTGGATGAGGTACACATAACCGAGAAGGAGGTGAAGAAGTTGCTATGTAAACTTGATACCTTAAAGGCGGTGGGACCAGACAACATCTCTCCGTGGGTCCTGAGAGAGGGAGCAGAGATGCTGTGTGTGTCACAAACAAAGATTTTCAAAACATCCATTGAAACTGGGCAACTACCTTAGGTATTGAAGATGGCAAATACAGTCCCAATTATTAAAAAAAGGAGACAGACACGAGGCATTAAACTACAGACCTGTGTCACTAAAGTGTACAGTATGCAAAATCATGGAGAAGATTATCAGGGGAGTGGTGGAGCGCCTGGAAAGAAAACAGGTGTATATAATCGACAACGAGCACGGTTTCAGGGAAGGAAAATCCTATGTCACAAACTTACTGGAGTTTTATGACAAAGTGACAGAAGTAAGACAAGAGAGAGAGAGGTGGATAGAGTGCATTTCCTTAGACTGCAAGAAGGCCTTCGACACAGTTCCTCACAAGAGGTTAATGCGAAAGCTAGAAGATCAGGCACTCATAACAGGAAAGGTATAGCAATGGATCAGGGAATATCTGACAGGGACGCAACAACGAGTCATGGAACCTGACGAGGTGTCAAAGTGAGCTCCTGTGATAAGCAGGGTTCCATAGGAGCCAGTCCTATGACCTGTGCTGTTTTTGGTATATGTGAATAACATAACGGAAGGGATAGACTCAGAAGTGTCCTTGTTTGCAGATGATGTGAAGTTAATAAAGAGAATCAAATCGATCGAGGATCAGGCAGGACTACTAAGAGACCTGGCCAGGCTACAAGACTGGTCCAGCAACTTGCTCCTTGAATTTAACCCAGCAAAGTGCAAAGTCATGAAAATCAGGGAAGGGCAAAGAAGACCGCACACAGAGTATAGTCTAGGTGGCCAAAGACTGCAAACGTCACTCGAGGAAAATGATCTTGGGGTGAGTATAATACCGAACACATCTCCTGAGACACACATTACTCAGATAACTGCTGCAGCATATGGGCCTCTGGCAAACCTAAGGATAGCGCTCCGATACCTCAGTAAGGAATCGTTCAAGACTCTGTACACCATATACGTCAGGCCCATACTGGAGTATGCAGCACCCAATTTGGAATCCACACCTGGTCATGCACGTGAAGAAATTAGATAAAGAGCAAAGGTTTACAACAAGACTAGTCCCAGAGCTAAGAGTATTGTCCTACGAAGAAAGGTTAAGGGGTCACAATTGGAAGCTGAAGACTCAGATGAGTCACCGGGATGTTAGGAAATATTTCTTCAGTCATAGAGTTGTCAGGCCGTGGAATAGCCAAGAAAGTGACGTAGTGGAGGCGGGAAACATACACAGTTTTAAGACGAGGTATGATAAAGCTCAAGGAGCAGGGAGAGAGAGGACCTAGTAGCAGTCAGCGAAGAGGCGGGGCCAGAAGCTATGAATCGACCCTTGTAACCACAAATAGGTGAATACTAACACACACACACACACACACACACACACACACACACACACACACACACACACACACACACACAAAGAACAGGACGGAAAACCAGGGGACTGGTGGATGAACCTGGAA